AGAGGCTGAGATACAGAATTCTCAAATTGGTTGTCTGCACTGTGGGTTAAATCACAGAGCCTAGGACTTGCCGATCAGAAGGTTGGTGGTTCGAATCCCTGTGACGGGGTGAGCTCCCATTGCTCAGTCCCTGCTCCTGCAAACCTAGTGGTTCGAAAGCATGTCAAAGTGCAAGTAGATAAATAGGTACCGTTCTGGCAGGAAGGTAAACAGCGTTTCCATGTGCTGCTCTGGTTCGCCAGAACCGGCTTAGTCATGCTGGCCACATGACCCGAAAGCTGTACACCGGCTCCCTCGGCCAATAAAGCGAGATGAGCGCCGCAACCCCAGAGTCGGTCACTACTGGGGTTTACCCTTTACCTTTACCTTTATTATCTAAATATCTTTCTTATTAATTACACAATGCTTACACACAAACTACAGTACATACTTAGCATTAGATTGGTAGTTACAAGAAACTAGAAGCTTCAGTCTCAGAAGAGCAAACCATACCTTGTTCACTGGCCCAAGACTGCCAGATAAATCATAAATCATAAGGCACATAAATGCTCATGTCACCCTGTTTGCTTATTTAAGCCCATGTCACATTTACTGAATCAATAAATTATAATTAAACTATTGGCTATCAAGCACTAGTGCCTAGATTTTACGGTTATGTAGCATATCAGCAGCTACTGAATCCCTAAACTATATTCAGAGATGCTTCATACTTTGGGATGCCTTTAGATGATACGGTTCAGATGTCAATTTGTCCATTGCTACTCTGGAGTTATGTAAACAAATGGTCCTTCTTGCACTGAGAGTTACCAGGATTGTCAAATGCAAGTGGTTGTTTATCCTGAAAGGCCATTAAAATAACAACTTGTTGTAAAAAGACTATAGCCACACACTTCCCAGGCAGTCGCTAACACCTTGTCAGCCATTCTATCTGCTGCTTCCAAAAATGGCTTATAACCGGGGAGAAAGAAATCAAATCTTAGGTATTGAGCCCCTTTTGGGAATGTATCATGGTGACTTATTTAATCAAAATATGCCCCACATCGGTGGAGAATAAAATCAAGAATGTGATCCACACTGGCAGGATGATGTGCTGAGACACTGGTGAAAAAGCAGTTCCTTCCAAAGGATAGGCAGTGTAAACCTTGCTACTCCTGAGTTGTGCAACTGAAATGAAAGCCTTCCGAGAGAGGTTTTTATCCTCATTCATGTCCCTGGTTATCACTTCATGCTTGAGATAATCTGTCCATGCAAAGGGTTTCCCCACATCTATGGATGATATTCAGAGTTTAGTTTAGTTTAGTTTAGTTTAGTTTAGTTTAGTTTAGTTTTTAGTTTAGTTTGGTTTAGTTTGGCAAGTGTATTCTGCCACATATAATTCATGCAATAATAGTGGTGGATTTATACTGAACCATCCACACACCATTCCAGTTTATTAGCTGTCCTATGATGCTTCTGCAACTTTATCGCATCCAGAGGTGCACTCTTGCACTCTGGTCAAACAAAAGCAGGACGAAAATAAATAAACCAAAACATTTAAGGTATAAGTTACTATTATCTCATTACAAACTCATGCTGCTGCATGTGTCAGACAAACCAATGAATTGCACCCAGAATCTAGGAACTCCTTTTGTTGAGTAAGATTGTGTTTCAGGTGACATGGAAGTTATGACTCTGATATTGCATCTGTAGTTTCACACATTCAGGTCATCCCTTGAGGCTGTAATCATATATGTGTGAATTCACCCTCAGTACTTGAAGCACAACAGAGTGATGAGGGGAAAAGGTAGATCTTGCCAGATTTTGCAGCTGAAAACAATTGACTCTTTGTCTTCCCACCCACCTATTCCCAGTCTCCAAAACGTGAATCAGGGACTTGTGTTCTTTGTACCATCAATCAACAATGCCAGCACTGATGTAACATTTTTTTTGTGATTTCATGTTTGTGGGAGTGGAAACAGAGTGTGGCATCTCCATTTTTAAGGTCTGCATCTGGGATTCAGGTTTCACTACCAACAGTTCTGAACCAACGGCAGGTTTATATAGTACCATAATGGGTACTAAACGAGAAGAAATATGCAAGCCAAGCCAGCAGTAATTAAATCAGGCATATAACATATACAACAGAACCTCACTAATCCCTTTTAATGGGTGGAGGATGAATTGCAAATGGCTTATCTTGTAAATTGCTGAATAAACGGTCAAGAAATAAGCAACTGTAATGCGACACATAATGTACTTTGCTCCTTTCTTGTGACAGCCATTGTTTAGCTTTGCTATTTATGTCACTTATCTAGAAGACTATTCTAAAAAGCACAACATAGCACGTTTCCTTTTTAACTATGTTAAACGATAGACCTCTTGTTGCTATTATGTTTTGTTACATGTGGGAAAAAGTGGCCTGGAGGCCTCCTTAGGTGATACCACAGGAAATGTTTGGCACACGTGTGTGTCCCCACCCCACAAGCGTCCCATTAAAAGATGTGTAACAAGTTAGCCATGACTACATTGCCCCATTGTTTTCAATCCTAGCAATACTTATCCAGGTATAATCCCAACTGAACACAGTGAGACTTACTTCCAAGTAAACACCACCAACCATATGCATATTTCCTCAGAAGCAATCCCAGTATGTTAAGTGGGGATTGTACCCAAGCAAGTGATGCATAGAATTGCCACCTTAACCATAACTAACTTAAACTGGATTGGGGCTATCCAGTTCACTAGCTCTGAAAAGTTTCAAAACTAGAAAAACTGCTCTCTGCAGTTAATCTTATACTTACAACACAGCAATAAGCATGAAGGTATTTAGCTGCCACTGTATTCATTTACCAACAGCTTTCATTACCTCACTTTAAGGTGAATGTGTTACAAATTGCTGTAATATTCTGCACCTCCCACACTGTAAACTGAGATACTCTGAAGACTTTGTTTGTTTTTCCACTTCCCACAGCCACATGTTGACCTCAATAAGTTAGCAAAGCAGTATTAAAGTTGGTAAATCATCACTGGCAATAAACCCACTATGTAATTAGTAATTTTTGACGGTTTGTGAGCAGCAGATGTTTAATCTCCTATGAATTTATCCATTGGCTAAGATTCTCACTTAAGTCTGGCTCTGAGCCAAGGTCTTCATCTCAGCTATTTCACCACTTTGTGGGCATGTGGTGCAACATATCCTAAAGATCAAATTCAATTTCTAGGGAGAGAGGGGTTATTGCCTTTTAAATTCCAGGTAGCCAAGTATTTCCTCCATTTTTTTAAAAGGGCTTGACTTCAGTTGGTGGGTTGGCAGGCCATAGCCATTTGCAGGTGTTTCCAGGACAGAATTCTCCTGGGAATTATACTAAGGTATGATGCAGCATCATTGTGATGTAAGGCATGATTAGAAGCAGGGAAGGGATGGCTTCTCCCACAGGACATATTAAGTTCAGGGCCATTTGGGGCCCCATATCATTCTCTCAAAAACCATCTTGAGACACTCAGCTGAGTTCAGAAAGCATGAACTGTGTAGGCACGGTGCAGACTGGCACTGCCTCCAATGTCATGCAGTTCTGCTTGAGCTTGGGGCTCGCAGGGGAGGGAGAAGCAAGGAAAGGTGAGGTATAAATGCAATAAAGAATAAGCAACAGGTCAGCTAGGTCAAGTCCAATCAGACAAACAGGTCAGATCAGATCAGGCAAAACGTATCAAAGTAAGCTCATGCAAAAGGTCAAGGCAAGTATCTCTAAACAGATCAGGACCTTGGAGAGTTCCCTATTGGCTAAGCATTGCTACATGCTGCCTGAGCCAAGAGCTGGGGCCACCTGAGGCCTTTTGTAGGCTGGCAAGGCTTTTACTAGGGTTTTCTTGGGTCACCAGTAGTTGCTGGGCTATAACCAGGCCTGTGCAGAGCTTGCCTGACACCCAGGGTGGAAGTCTTGTTCTTGGCATGACAGTGTAAATCCAGCAGGCCCCTGGCAGGGCCCCCCAGCTGGCTTAGCCCTCCAAGGCGTGGGGCAATTGTACCTGGGTGCACCCCCACCCCGCACAGGCCTGACTACAACTCTCATCAGTCCCAGCCAGTTTAGTCAATGGCCAGGGGTTATAGGAACTGTACTCCAGCAGCATCTGAAGAGCCAAGCTGCATAACACTGGCCTATACTACCACATCAGCAAGGTCAAGAGGGAGGTCTTGTTGTCTGGGCAGCCCAGAACCTCTATAGACGTTGCCCCGGTGAGAACACTTCAGTGCTACTATCACAGTGGTTTGACTTCATCCCCAGAGGCGCACTCCACCATCTCTCGAGACAGATGCCAACAACAATACTACAGTGGACTCCACTTCCTTGAAATGCCAACCATGCTGACTTGAAAGGACCCTTCCCTGATTCCACAGGCACTGACTTCTGCAGTGGTAATTGATGGGGTTGATGTTGAGGTTTGTGTATGAGGCAAGTGACAGAGCTACATCTCCTGGCTAGGAGAGCCCAGGGGATAGTGCTGAGGAGCAGCCTGTATTCCTTCTCATCTGTATCTTCCCCAGGGTAAGGTACAGTTGTGTGAGTTAGTGGTCACGACAAATGTCCCTGCCTGCTCCACCCCAGCTTTTCCCTATTGATCTTTAATGGCCGAAGGGGATTTCTAAGTGTGATGACACAGGGTTGCTGATCGTAGTGAGGCTTTTAAGCTTCCAACCGAATGTACTTAGAAGCCCCCTTCAGAGTTTCTTGTTCAGTGGTGGAGGTAGCAGGCATGGGAGCAGTGGGGTCAGAGTGGCATGTGTGCCTCTTACACACTTTGTGCCCTCATGCATTTGACTGAATGAATGGGCAGGGCTTATTTCATCAGGAACAAGATGAGACCTGTCCTCAGTCTCCTTGCTAGCTGCCATTTCTCCTGCTGGAATATCGGAAACTGCCTTATATTGACTCAGACCATTGGTCCATCTAGCTCAATATTGCCTGAACACACTGGCAGTGGCTCTCCCAAGATTTCAGGGAAGGTTCTTCCCCAGCCCTACCTGAAGATGCCAAGAATTGAACATGGGACCCTTCTCCATACAAGGCAAAATGCTCTGCCATTGAACTACAACTGCCACACACACACACACACACACACACACCCCAATAATGGCTGCCTCCAGGATGCAAGCATGTTGCAAAGGGAGAGAGAAGCATGCCAGGATCCTGCCTTGGCTTGAGATGTATCTTTGCACTCTCCAGGCTCCACCTCCCACTCTGCTACCCGTGTCACCATGGCACCAGCATCTCTGCTCTGCTCCTCGTGTTTCTGCTGGCTCTCAATTCCCACCCAAACATATGCTGTGACATTGAAAGATGTGGCAGACAGGACCAAAGAGCCAGCAGAAATGTAAGGAACAGGGGATGGGGAAGAAAGAAAATATAAATATATATCGCTGAAATGAGGAAAAAGCAATGTGCCTATTTAATCTAGTTTTAACCTTGTTAAAAGAGCAGAAAGATTTAACACTGAACACTGAGTCAGACAGCTGGGGGCAGCCAGTTTCTGCAGCTGCTGTTTTCCCTGTCTTGCTGCCTACACACAGATCTGAATTTTAGACATGTGAAACTTTCTGATTTTAATAGTCCAAGTAACAATACTTTGAAAGAAACAATAACCATTAAAAGAAAAACCCTTCTTCCCACAGCAGGCTGCTCTTCCTAATTTGAACTTTGTTTACTTTTATTTGTTTGGGATCTCATTTTTGTTCTAGCTGACAAATGCGTAGCAGGGACAACCATATCTTTTGCTATGTCTTATGCATAAGCTTCATAAATGCTTACTAGAAAACACACAATTGTATTGGTACCACTCCAGTCCCAGTTGGAGCTGGATGAGGGCTATGTTTTCAAGCTAATGAGGGTTGGCTTCCTAGAGATATGCCATTATTTTTTCCCTTCCAAACATTTGGAACTCTGTTGTTTATTGCAGTGTGAAATTTTCAGCACTGGAAATCTAATTCATAAAACATCAGCTTTCCAGTAACTTTGTAAAATGTGTGCAATATATGCTCAAAAAAGTACTATGGGTGCCATTTCATGAAAGTGGGGAGGTAAATGCTTCTGCATTGTGCAAGAAAACAAGTTTTTATGAGTTTCCTCTAGGATCTGCAGCCTTTACTTTCCTCACAAGTTTGTTGATAGCTCTTCTCAAATCTGTTTCTTGTATTCCAAAGTCAGCCATCGTGATGTTCTCCAGCTACAATCGCTATCACCCCTGTCCATGGGCTAATGCTGCCTGAGGCTGATGGGAGTTGTAGTCAGTGCCAACTGGCACACACCACACTGCTTAACTAGGGGCACCTCCAGACTGTCAATATTTTGCGAGAGCAATTCAGATATATACTGGGAATTTTTGGTTTGCACGATTAAAGTGGATTAAAGTGGTCTGTCATCCTAGCACAAGAAATCCACTTTAAAGAAGAAACTTCTTGCCATTAGGAAAATGACGGGAAAATGCACTGAAAAGGTTGGAATGATTAATGGGAAGACATTGAAACACTTACAAGCAGATGAAAGTAGGTTGAATGCTCATTGCCATATAACTGTCCTGCAAACAAATCAGAACAAGTCCTCAATAAAGAGCAAATATAATCTAACCTCCACAGAGTTGTGCAAGCAAACTTAGTGCTCAGCAAACAGGTCACCTGGAGGGGTCCTAAGTCACACTATAGTCTCATTTTGGTTGATCCCCAAGAGGATGCTGGTTTCTCTTTGCAACAATAAGACAGGAGTGGTGGATTAACTGGAGAGGTTCAGTTTCCTCCCAGCTTCACAGTGTGCAGATATCCACACCAAGCAATCATATGCTAAGTCATTCGTCAGTCTCATCCCACCCCCCATGGCTCATGCAGGCTGAACCTTTTTTTGCTTTTAAAAACACCACATGAACATTTAGGCATGTGTCCCTTCATACACCAGCAGAGTAATTTCAAGGTGGAAATGTTTTTAAAGTGCAAAACTGCTGCAGGGATTGGTGAGTTCACATCACACATCACAAGGACCTACCAACCAGTGTTGAATTGCCATTTTTGCTTGAAACTTACAGAGCTCATTGTGGCTGCATTGCTGAGATCTCATTGCTCATTGTGAGTACTGAGGGCACTGGACTTCACTCCTAGCCTCACCCCAGACATTGGGCATTGACGCCTACATTAGAGGCTACTTACTGGGACACCAGCACAATTAGGAAGCTGCTTTAAACTGAGTCAGGCTGTTGGTCCATCAAGCTCAGTATTGTCTACACTGGCAGCATCTCTCCCGGGTTTCAAGCAGAGCTCTCTCCCAGTCCTACCTGGAGATGTTGGGGATTGAATCTAGTACCTTCTGCTTGCAAGGCAGATGTTCTTCCACTGAGCTGTGGCCCTTCCCTATGGAGTTGCCTGATTGTGCGCAGCCTACACTTGAACAGCTGTTTGCAGGTAGAACACAGGTGGTGCTGTGGGTTAAACCACAGAGCATAGGACTTGTCGATCAGAAGGTCAGCGGTTCGAATCCCTGTGGCGGGGTCAGCTCCTGTTGCTCGGTCCCTGCTCCTGCCAACCTAGCAGTTTGAAAACACGCCAAAGTGCAAGTAGATAAATAGGTCCCGCTCTGGCAGGAAGGTGAACGGCGTTTCCGTGCGCTCCTCTGTTCCGCCAGAAGCGGCTTAGTCATGCTGGCCACATGATCCAGAAGCTGTACGCCGGCTCCCTCGGCCAATAAAGTGAGATGAGCGCCGCAACCCCAGAATCAGTCACGACTGGACCTAAAGGTCAGGGGTCCCCTTTACCTTTATGTCAGAGAATTCTGATGGAAACAGGAGCAGAAATTGCCACTCTTAATTTTTTTATCTGTGTCTGGAATGAAAATCAATCTAATGAATGCAATCAGTATTCACTGTTGATGTTGTTTACAGCCTGCAGACAATATGTACAGTGATACCTTGGGTTACATATGCTTCAGATTACAGACGCTTTCCGCTAACCCAGAAACAGTACTTCAGGTTAAGAACTTTGCTTCAGGATGAGAACAGAAATCGGGCTCCAGCGGCGCGGCGGCAGCAGGAGGCCCCATTAGCTAAAGTGGTGCTTCAGGTTAAGAACAGTTTCAGGTTAAGAAGGGACCTCCAGAATGAATTAAGTACTTAACCTGAGGTACCACTGTAATTGATTACTCCCCACCACCACAATGCATTGTGTTTTCCTTTGAATGAATGGTGTGGGGTAGCATAATGATGAATGGCATCACCTTTGTCAGAAGCCAAACTGCAGCAGAATGGAAACAGCACTTCATGCAAAGAAACCGATTCCTTCTTCCATCCCTTGCAGGTGTTTTATTTGCAGGTGGCCACAGAAATGTGTGTATATCTAGAGGGGCCAGACAGTATGCTAAACACTAGGCGCAGCACTAGGAGTCTGGTCCTGCTAACCAGCACCAGCATGATGCCCCCTTATAACATGTGAAGAGGGCTATTTCCCTTTGGGGGGGAGAAGCTCCATGCTCTTGCCACTGTATGAGGAGAGAAGCCTTCCTTATATTGGGGCAGGGGGAGGGAAAGACATGCATCTAGTTAGCCACTCCATAAATCCTGCTATGGGTCTTAACCTTTAAAGCTGTTCTTATCTAATTTATTGTATTGGCTCTTTATCCCATTGACTTCTGTTACCGATATGTTATACACTCTCAAAGAGAGAGAGAGTGAGCCTTACTAGAAAAGAGGATGTTTTAAATCCTGGCTGAGGAATGAAAGTTAAATTTTTAATTCTGTGCTCTCTCGCTTTGGGTATTATTTTTATTGCTGCTGTAAAAAAGTTTCCTTCTTTTTCCTGACTACAGCATATGTCTAAACGTGCTTTACACTGTGCACATTTACACTCAGCAAAATGACATGTTTCCAAATAAGCATTTCTTTAATCACAGGCACATTTATGCTGAATATGGATTTCAAGACTAAGAAACCTTAGTGACCCCTTGCTCAAATGAATCCATAGTAGAGAGCCAGTGTGGTATAGTGGCCATGGTATTGGGAGACCAGGGGTTCAAATCCCCACTCATCAGTGAAGCTCAGTGGGTGACCTTGCACCAGTCCCTGCCTCTCAGTCTAACCTAGCACACAGGGTTGTGAGGATATGAATAGTGTTCTCCTTCCACTGTTGAAGGCAGTAGGCCTCTGAAAGCCATGTTCTGGGAATGACAAGTGAGGAGATGGCTGATGCACTCATGTCCTGCTTGTGAGCTTCCCACAGGCATCTGGTTGGTCATAGTGAGAACAGGACCCTGGACTTGGTGGGCCATTGGCCTGATCCAGCAGAACTCTTCTTATGTGGAGAGGGAAGCCCACAAAAACCACCTGGAGCTTCTTGGAGCAATGTTGGGATAGAAATGTATTAATTAATTAAGGGCAAATGAAAATGGTGGCCTTATTACAGTGGTACCTCAGGTTAAGTACTTAATTCATTCCGGAGGTCCGTTCTTAACCTGAAACTGTTCTTAACCTGAAGCACCACTTTAGCTAATGGGGCCTCCTGCTGCCGCCGCGCCGCCGGAGCATGATTTCTGCTCTCATCCTGAAGCAAAGTTCTTAACCCAAGGTAATATTTCTGGGTTAGCGGAGTCTGTAACCTGAAGCATATGTAACCTGGAGCGTATGTAACCCAAGGTACCACTGTATTGACATGTTTATAATGATGGTAGTCAGAACTCAACAGCTCTATAGGGAAAGGATGAAGCTTAAAAGCTAAAGGTCTTCAAGAAAATTCCCTTCTGCTGCTGGGGATCAATCTGAAACTGCCAGTCCTTTCTTGCAACAAGAAGAAAAACCAGCATATAGAGAAGTTTCTATTTCAAATAACCTTTTTTTTTGTTTCTAAAGCCAAAATGGAATAAACTGTGTTACTGAAACGATCCATAAAGATCTTTGACAAAAGTGGAGCCAATAAACCCTCTATTTTTATGTAAACACTCTCTGTGGTTCTGATTCTGCTGTCAATAATGCAGAAGACTTTCAGCACAAGAGTTGCAGAGGGACCACTATAAATCTTTCCTTGTATGATAACAGGAATAAAGGATTAATATATGGGAGGAAAAGAAACAGCCTAATATCATTGTGTAATTTAATTGCTAGGGCTCTATTTACATGAAACACAGCCCTGGAAGCAATCAGATTTAATCAAGCTGAATCACGAGTGGCTCTCATTTTATATGCCAAAGGTAATTAACAGGGGAAATGATATATAGATTCATGCTTTCGGGGAATTCAAAATGTTCAAATATCAAGCTGAGCATTTAGCAGTTTAAATAGGTTTTCTAATCTTCTATTTCAGAACAGGGAATCGCATATTTTCAGCCTAATTCTGTTGGAAACCTCATCCTTATGCAATACAATCAATAGCGATGAAATTCTGAGAACTACCTTACCTTCTCTGGACACATTTTAAGATATTATTTACATAAAAAGAGAAATATAGATGAGATTTGTGGGATGAGTGCTTTGCAGAACCGCTTCATTTGAAAATATTCCCCATCAACCCTTTTTGTACATATTCACTGTGGTTGTTGTTTTTGTTTAAAAAAGAGAGTCAAAAAGAAATGAACTAAGAATAGCCTTCTCAGTGTTTTGTTCCCATTCTACAGTCTAATTAGCATAACCTTAGTAACAGAAGACCAACACTGATATGAATGCAAAACTCCTGTGGTGATCATTAGGATAAAATCTGGCACTGTCCCTAGCAGTCAGTCACAAACATTTAAAAACTGGTATATTGCTCTCCAATAGGGTGTGAAATGTCTCATACTCAAATCAAGTACAGCAAAATAAAGATGTCAAATAAATGACAATTTGTGTATGAAAGGCTGTGTCATTTGGGGTAATTGGAGCTGGCAAGCAATTCCCCTTGGTATATCCAGTTAACAAAAGGGAAAATAATTCAGTTTTCATTCACTATGTATATGACAGTAAATCCACAAAGACTACGTGTTAACATTGCATATGAACATTTATTTATTTCCAACTACAATTTATTTCAAACGACCATTTCAGAAAATAAGAAATAGATTGCATACACATTCTAAGCAATTCAGCATTGTCATTGCAACTCAATATTTGTTATGTAACAATCTTGTATCTTCCATTTCAATGGAATCTCATAGCAGCAAGGGTAAAACAAATTTTTGCTGCAACTTGAAATTCATTATCTGATGGATATTGTCCCTGGGAGACTCTGCTGGGTGGGTTGTTGGTACCAACCAATCTTAGCAATGATGCAGTGTTGTGTGACCAGGAGTTTGCAGCCAAAGATCTCACTGATTATTCTCAGATAAATATGTGAATGCTAGCCTCCTTCCTTTACCACCTCTTTACTCTGGCCATTCTCTCTCTATGTGATGGCCTCAGGCACTGAATTAGATACCAACTCAAAAGACAAGCAAGCACCATATCCACTTCCCAGCCCATTTGTTGTTGTTTAGTCGTGTCCGACTCTTCGTGACCCCATGGACCAGAGCACGCCAGGCACTCCTGTCTTCCACTGCCTCCCGCAGTTTGGTCAAATTCATGCTGGTAGCTTCAAGATACCAGGGTTCTAACTTGAAGGCTCCATGACTGCATTCATATGACAGCTTATTCCATTTCCCCAGTGTTCCCCTGCCTGTTAATTTCTGCATTATATGTGAGTTTTCACATGACATAAAAGCCGCTTCTGGAAATATAGTGCAAATTTAGAGCTCATTTCTGTGTTACTTGCCTCCAGAAACTTTCTGTTTGCAAATAACGCAGAAATTAACACCCAATGTGCTATATTCTGTTACATTTCCAGAATAGATTTTTACATGACATGAAAGCTCATATATAATGGGAAATTAACTGTTAGGGAAACACTGGAGAAATGGAATGAACTGTCATGTGAATGCAGCCTGTCATTCTCATCTACCTCCACAGTCACAAAAAGGCTTGCCGCTGGGCTGTAACATTTTACCTGTTCATTTGTTTAGTTATTTCCATTCATTAATTGCTTCCCATAAAATATCTCAAAGCAACTGCACAAAAAATGCATAAGCCATAACAACAATTATACTATTTTATAAAAACAATTCTAACAATTTAAAGCAATAGAAAAATTTCATATGTAAAAACAATTAAAGGCAATTTTCTTTGTAAGAACAAATTCAAATCCAATATTGATATGGACTGGAATAAAGATCTCCACTTCAAAGGCTTGGTGAAGAAGGAAGGTCTTCAACAGACAACAAAAAAACCAACACAGATAGTACCTTTCTGATATGTATTTGGAGGAAGTTCCAAACGATGGATGCTATCATGTTAAAGGCCTGATTCCTGTATGGTATTGAATTAACCTGTTGAGGAGAGGGCATCTGCAGGAGAACTTC